GAAGGCCTGGGCAGAGAAAAGCTGCTTGCCCCTTGGCATCAGCAAGGCAGCCAGACAGAAAGGAGCACAGAAGGAGGATAAACCCTGCTAGGGCACACCAAGAATGACCTCTGGCCAGACCCCACCTCTCAACACCAAGGCAGCTCTGCTGACCCCATAGTCTAGGCACCTCCCACCAGCCCCACCTTTGAGGATATGCAGCTTTGGTGGTGCATCCAGGTATAAACCCTAACAAGTGGTGACCATCTTCTGGCTTCTACGACTGTCCCCCCACCTCTGCGAGAACCTGGGAAAGAATAAAAGATGGCATGTGAATAAGAGAACAACCACAAGGGTCAGAATTTTAAAAAGCCATAAGAAGGTATGATTGGTGACATATTCAAAGTGCAGAGCCCGAGGACACCTCTGCCCAGGGATGAGTCAAGGCTTGAATTCAGATGCTTACACTCTCAGCTGTTTCCAGGAGTCTGCCATAAATGCACGGTCACTCACTTGTCCCGATGAGATTCCCGGGAAGCTGTGGTCATAGCTGAGGCGGCTTGTGCAGAGCAGCATGCACGCTTTGTATATACATGATCATAAAGCACTTAATGCATAAAAATATGCTGATTATTTATGGAGGTTGTCAGACTTGATAACAGAGCCAACCCCTCAGCATCCCACACATTACTTGTAAAAATACACATTGCCCACTTTGGCAATGCTTCCTGTGGGATCCTGTCTGCCCCTTTCTGCTGCCTCCCCTGAAGAGGAGACCCCCTATCTTGATGGTATTTGTCATCCCCACTTCCTTTTAAATAAATCTTTACCACCTATGTGTGAATCTCTAAATAGCCTGTTTTGAGCTTTATAAAAATGTGGAATTATAGCTTTTCTGAGCTTATTTAAATGCCACATATTGTCCCAGAAGATGAAAAGCAGATCTATACCTTCGAAACTTGGGTTTTGCTGGTATAGATAAGTGCTGGGTTTTTTTTTTTTTTTTTTTTCCCCTAGTGGCACCTATCTGGTATCAGGGCAGGGCTGGCAGTCTGCACAGATTGCTGCCTGCAGCTCTGCAGGGGCCAGGATGCTGCAGCCCAGTCAAGAAAGTTGAGCTCCAGGACCACTGGCCTTGGGCCCCTGGCTGACACAGGGACACCCGGAAAATGAGTGTCTGGGCTTCTGGAGGCAGGCAGGCTAGTTTCTGACTCCAGAAGCATGTGGGGCAGACAGGGAGGGTGAGAGGCAGAGCACTGAATATGCAGCTGTAATCGGGAACTCAGAAGGGACATGAGTGAAGGGTGGGGCAGAGGACACAGCTTGAAGGCAGAGCTCCAGCCTCTGCTTGCCTGGACTAGTAAAGGCTAACATGCTCTGCCTTTGTCATTTATTAGCCTGTTGTTGAACATGGTTAAGCTTCCAGGTTTATCTATGTTATATCCTGTCAAGGATGAAATAGTGACTAAGCCTTTTCTTGCTATAAAGTGCTTCACGTCCAGTAAGACTTCAGCTATTCCATTCATTAGCTTTTACTCCGTCATGCTGTAGTAGCACAAGATCACCAAACAAGAGCAGCTTACACCAGTGAGTTCCTTCTTTGTGTTGAGTACTACGGTGGGGTGCCCTACGCCTGCTGGGTCCCAGGTGCAGGAGCAGCTCACTTCAGGCTGTTACTTTCATGGGAGGGGAGGGGGAAAAGTGAGGTGATGCATCCAGGCCTCAAAATGACGCTGCAGCTCAGCTTCATCTTCCCTCTGGCACCCACCCATTGGAGCAAGTCCCTGGCTGGGCTGGGGCCACCGGGGGGAGCTGAGCATCAGAGGCAGCTACTGAACTGCAGGATGCAGCAGTGGGAGTGGCAGGGAGCTTCAGGGAGGGCAGAGATTACTTGGCATAAGTATTAGTCAATCACAGATGTAAGCAGGCAATTTCAGGAATAGTAAGATAAAGCTTTATTATAAATAAGTATATATTTTTAACTTTATAAAGTAAGTTTACACATAAATGTATATTTTTCCTTTCTAAATTAATTTCAGAGGCTCTTTTGAGAAAGCAACTTCAAAACTACTGGACTGTGGTTTCTTTCTTTCTTTTTTTTTTTTTTTAAATGTATGTGGTACAGAGTCTCACTATGCAGCTTGAATTTGCAGTGATCCTTCTGTTTTCTGTACCCCCTCCCCAGAGCTGGGATTACAGGCATTCACCACCATGGCTGGATAGGGGCAGGGCTGGTGCAGCATATGGTACCAGGGACTGAACCGGTTCCTGAGCTTGCTTAAGCAGGCACTCAGTCCACTGAGCTATCTCACTGGTCCTCAAAACTGCTGGTCTGAAACTGAGGCTGGTTGCAGAAATCTAACTTTCAGAAGGAGGAGAGGTAGAAAAAGATGGCCATAGTGGTCTGTAGGCTACTCCAGACAATATTGTCTATTGGCTATGAACCATACTGTCTACTGTCCTATATAAAAACAAGTGTCTTCTGTGAATCACTCACCTGCCACCTACACTGTTTCTTTCAGCTTGCTGTCAGCCCACTGAGTTGTCAGTAGGCATATTACTTAACTGTGAGTCTCTCCTGTGCTCCATCCCTACTCACCCATATGCTCCCCTGAGCTCATCATCATTTCCACATTCCTTTTCTTCTTAATCATTATATCAGTTGATGCTTGACACCTGGCCATGGCTCCTTTTCATACACTCCTGTGGTGGATTAACTAATGGTAAACTTGGAACACCCAGCTGAACTGACTCCACATGGTGCTGAGTGTGGAAGGCCCACCTGGGGATTATTGCCAATAGCGTAAGAGGAGAACCAGAAAGAAAGGTGGGGCTATTGATTCTCCTGGAGAAGCTTGTCATGCTGGTTTTCCAGATATGAACTTAGCTCTTCTTATCATCAGAGGAAATAGGGTCCTCGCTGTCCCTGAAGACACCTGTGGTTCTTTTCAGGGGAGCTCTGATCTTCACCTTAAGCATCGTTTCCTAGCTCCAATGCAAACCCCTCAGCCTGCTGGCACAGATTCTTCGTTCCATGGGCACAGATGTTCTAGCTTCCACCACAGGCCACTGGGCCTGTCCAGTACAGATCCTCATATGGACTTGCACGAGCTATTGTTGTGGGCTCAAGGCCTCTAGCTGGACTTGTGGAGGACATTGCCATGAGCTCTAGTATTAATTGGCTTCATGCAACACATTGCCATCGGATCCAGGCCCTTGGCTGGATTCTTCGGGTCTGTAGTGCATGGGGAAATCTCTTGTACTCTTCTGCACTTGACATTTTGGATGAACATTATAAAACAACCCTATAAGTTATGTGTCCTGTATTAAATCCACTCCCATGCAAACTCTGACTGCAACAACCTCAGACTTCTTCCTGTCTCCTTGGGAACATACTGAGTATTTTACACTGTCCTACAAAAATGACTTTAGCATCAAGAGGAAGCATGTCAGCAATCCACAACCTTTCTCTGTCACTCTCTGCCTGTCAGAGTAGCCAGCAAACGGATGTATGACAATTGGAGATATTCAGTATGAGTCTAGTACCTTGGAAACAGTGTTGAAATAATTCTTAGCTTTGCTTTGTAATCAGTTTTGAGACCAAATAGCTTGTCTTCTTACAATAAGCCAGTATTCACCTGCATGCACATGTGTTGCCTTGCAAGTGCTAGTAACCTTTTCAAAGGTAGGCATTTATGTTTTCCGAGGGCAAGGCCTGTATCTCCTCTTTTCTTTCTTTTAAAAGATTCCCTATGGTACCTGATAAGAGCTGCACATCGAGTGAGTGCTCAGTAAATTTTGCCTATCTCTTCTTCCTTTGAACATCCATCAGGTATCCACATAGTCCTGGGCCAGGGCCCTTTGCAGAGGATTGATTATACACAAGCTTTGATCCTAAGGATTTTATACAGCCAAAAAGAGAGTAAACTCTCAGACAATGCAGATTTAGACCAACAACAAAGGTGCACAATTAGCCACAAACAATATTGTATAGAGTGTGCTCCAGAGAACCTTGCTCATGACAGGAAGTGAGCCAGGACCCTTGTGAGCTCAGCCATGGGGTCAGACATAGGTTTTAATAGGCATTATAATCTTAATTTTTTTTTGTTGTTGTTTTTTTCGGAACCAGGGATTGAACTCAGGCCCTTGCGCTTGCCAGACAAGTGTTTATTCTACTGAGGCATCTCCCTGGCCCAGCATTATAATCTTTCATAAGGAATCTAACCTCACTGTTTTAGCCCTATCTTCTATAATGTAGGAATAACTTTAAAAAGCTAGTAACCTGTGTGGTCTGTTGCACTTGTAAATACCATCTTTCTCTCCTGGGCCTTTCTCATGTTTTGTTTTAAGTTGGGTTAGAGTCCAAAACAAAGGAATAGAAGAAAGGAACATGAAGTATCAGTATTGTTACTATTAAAGAGTGACAGGTTATAGTGGAGGGGATTCCAAGGCTAGTTACATAACCACAGGCATACTCCAATCAGAAAAGACTGGTGCAAACATAGTTTTGCATGCAAATATATTCATCCAGTGTTGCTCCCAAGGGGAAGAGGCAGAGCAGAAATATACCACCCACATTTGTAGAAAACAAGAGGTTGCCATCCTCTTCCTCAGGAAGAGCATATGTCCAGATTACTTCAGCTGTTTCGTATAGTGAGCTATGTTTATAGGAAGACTTGTAAAGAAGCCTTAGACAGTCCAGTGGATGTGGTCATTGACCATGTAGGACTCCACAGTTGTTAAATTTCATATTAATGAATTTATTTTATGAATAGCAACAGTTGAGTTTACCATTCATTACAATGAGCCTTCTGATGCTTCTTCAGTGTTTTAGGAATTATACATTTGGAAAACCATATGTCCATTTCTTCTTTAGTACTCTGTAATGGAGAACTCTGAGTGAGGTGAACTTTTCCCTTTCCTGTGTTTTCTCCTATGGATCAAGCACTCAGCTCTTTCCTGGGAAACTAAGCAGGGACTTTTGGTGACTGTCTTCTCACTGACCTTTACCTCTCTTGCAGTGCAAGTTGGAGTTCCATGGCTGCTCTACTGGCAAAAGCCTCAGCATTCTCTGTGATGGGCCCTGTCCTTGCATCCCGGAACCTGAGCCACCAAAACACAAGACAGAAAAGAATGGTAAGTGGATATTTTAGGAGACATTCTTGAAAGGGATATGATGGCCAGCTTTGGTGAGTCAAGCTTTGTCCCAGATGCTGGGAACCTAGCATTCAACTGAGCTATTCAGGCTCACGTTGGGGAAATGGCTGACTTGGTTGTTTATGGGTTCTAAATTGAGTTGCTTTCAGCTACTACTGAAGAAAGGAGAAAGAGCTGAGAGTCTTTGAAAATAATTTGTTAGGCCGAGTTATGCTCTATGATCTCTTAGAGGTCAAAATTGCTATGATATGGGAGGGGCAGTATTTTCTGCATCTAAGACCAGGCCCTGCCCTAGGGTATTTCTTGGTCTTTCTAATCTCTCAGATCCTTTGAACTTCTCAAGGCCAAATGTTAAAATAGAGAATCCAGAGATGCCACAACAGTGCAGTAGTCTCCCCTGGAGCATTGCTTCATTAATATATTCTTCTTAGAGTGCAGCACAAAGCCAGGAGACAGATGAAAGAGAATATCTCTCCAGGGGCTGCTCTTTTTCCTCCAGGGTGTAGAAGGGCAGGAAAACTTGGGCCTGTCTGGATGTTTTCATGATGGAGATAGGAATGATGTGCCACAGGCCTTGATCCTAAATCATTATTAATAAAGTGCAAGGTGGGTGTTTGAATTTGCCTTCTGTGGAACTGGGCTTTCTCAGTCATGACAAGCTGTTCCATGGAAAATACTGTGTGTTTATTTGTATGAGTGTGTGAGTGTGTGTACTCATGTCTTCTAAAGCTCTCAGCCACTTGTGGGGGAGGAGAGAAAACAGAGTGAGAAGGTAGTCTTTTGCATTATCATAGGCAATGTGGTGTTTTTCAAAAGATCAAAAGAGGAAGACTTGAATCTAAGTGTGTTTGTGATGATTTAGGGAATCTTGTGTCTGTAGGTGTTTAGGAGGTCTAGCTCAGAATGCAGAAAGACAAATTAAATCATAAAGCACTATGGTCACATGTCATCTTCTAATGTGATTTCTGACTTCCAAAATAGCTGGTCACATTGCATTTGGATCTGACTCATTTATATAGCCACAGTAAGAAAAGTTAATTAACGTATATAATCTTCACTTTGCTCTGGTCTAGTCAGAAAGTCTAAAACCATGTGGTGTTAAGTAACTCCATCGTCCAGAAAATTAACTTCTGTCTAGAAAGTTTTTGAAGTGTCTTCTTAGGAAGTTTCAGTAGCCTTTAGAATTCTAGGTATATTTCTTTTTGCCTTTATCTAATCTGTTCTGAGGCTAGGAAACCAAATCAAGAAAATGAAATCGGCTACTTTTCCTGGATTATCTATCGATGAACGTAATAGTTCCCTTCATGGCCATCCACACATGGTAAGGGTTCTCTGCTTGCTGTAGTTATTTCAGGGGGATTTTTGCTTCTCCAGATGAACAATTCTCATTTCTACATGCTGGTCTTTGTACATAGCTAAATGGGGCTGACTCTCAAATATGACACTCTGAGAATGGTCCTGACTGTATTGCTTTATTTGTGCAATTATTCACTGATGACAATTCAAATACATTCTTACCAAACCTATGCAAGTAAATATATGGCTGTTAAACATACACTCCAAAAACTTTAGCTGCTCAGTTCTGAAACATCATTGAGAACAATATTGCCATTTTGAATGTTCCAAGGTATTTGCAGCAATGTAGACTAAATTAATTGTGATGTCAGAAGGGAAAAGCATCATCTTACCACACGAGGAAAGAGAACATAAAACAATAATGTCAACAATATTTTGAAACAGCCAAATTCTATCTCCTCATCAATTCCTTCAATCCTACAGATTTATTCCTCTATCCCACTAAATCTTGGACCTGTAGTTTTGCTTTCAAAAAGTTGTCTACCTCTAGATTCAAAGCAACTTCAGAAATCCTTGCTTAGTCTTTAATTTGAACATTGCTTAAGAAGCAGCCCCTCAGAAACCTGGTGGCCAATGAATCTGTTATCTGGAATGTCAGTAGCCCAAACATGGTGAAAATTTTTTCCATGAGGTTCTGAGAAAAGACATTCTTTGTTTGAAATTGAATTTCCAAGTTGTGACTTAGGGCAGTGTTTTTGTGTGAGCTTGAAAGGAAGCAGAACTTACCTAGTAAGGGTGAGAGAGGGTGGCTCTAGCTAATTCATTATGGCATCCCACAGAGTGTTAATGGAGGATGGCAGAGTCCCCTATTAGGGGATAATGTTTAACTACTTAACATGGATTTGATAGGCGCTTCCCCAGAGAATAGGAAAATGTTATGGGCAGTGAGGGCTTTGACGATTCCCCAGGGGGACCATGTGAAATGAAACATTTAAATTAATAATGTTTTACTTCAACAAATTTGATCAAGGGAAGGCTGACCTTTTTCTGTGCCTTGGCAGTTCTTTCCATGTAGCTGATAAGGGCTGGACTGCGCCTATGACAGCTGGAATGAGGAGGAGGGAATGAATCTAAGGGAGAGCTCAGGAGAGGAAGGAAAGCAGTCTTCAATTGACAGCGTAGCTGTAGGTGGGCGGAGGGAGGAGGAAGAGAAGCATAAACATCACCTGCCTTCCCTGTCAGCAGTCCTCTCTTAAGCTGCTCCAGGCCAGTCTGGGCAGCTTCATGAGACCCTGTCTCAAAATAAAAGGATCTACAGTGTAGCCCAGTGAGTGCTCTCTGGGCCTAGACTCCAGGACTGGAAATCATTAATGGCAATATTAGTATTGATTTTCAATATTACTTTGATTTTGAATCCTGGGTTCATCCGATGATGAAAGGTTCATGTAGTCACTTCCAGGTAAATTCTGTGAAGTCAGAGCTGTGTCTCAACCCTGGGAAGCAGGGACCCTCCGTGGGCTTCTGAGCTGCGGAGCCAGTGGGAGGCATTTCCTGGAGGTGGCTGTCCTTTGGTATCCAATCACTTCTGTGGGGCTTTTGCCATCTTCAGTTAGTTGGTATCTTAGTTACTTTCTTATTGTGCATGGAAACCCACCAGTTAAAAGAGGAATTCCTTACAGCTCACAGTTTCTAAAGCTTTTAGTTCATAATAGTCTGGTTCCAAACCAGGACAGCATGACAGAGAGGTATCACAGAGGAGAACCAGTCCATGACCAGGCAGGGACGAAGCAGCAAGCATTCTTTCCTGTTCCTTTATGTTCCATTCAGGCTATAAGCCTATTGACTGGTGCCACCCACACCTGAGTGGGGCTTCCGTCATGCACACCCAGAACTATGATAAACCAGTTTGGCTCATAAAAACCCTAATCCCAAGAACAAAACCCCCCTAATCAAGCATCACACATCCATGATCCAGCCACCTTCCCAATGCTCTACCTCCTAAGAGGGCATGAAGTTCTGGGGAGATTGTTACATAATAAACCGTAACCCTTGGCTACTGATATTTGTCCTGACCATGTCTACTGATTATATTTGGGATGCCATCCATCACCTCTGGATACCATGTCTATTGAGATTATATGAAGTCTTTTTTTCTTTATATCAGACTCTTCTGAGTTTACCCACTCTCTCATAGCACCACTTGGCCTCGTTCAGGGGCACAGAAAACTTGAGGATACTTTTCTAAGATTTTATAGCATCAAAAAGACTGATGAGGCTGGCATGTTGAGTCTTTTTTTTTCTACTGATCTGTGCACAGCTGTTACTATTCTGCACAGAGGTTATTTTGAGGCTTGCCTCAAACTGGCTTTAGTATTAGTTGCAAAACGCAGGACTTCTTTACTGCTGAGGCTCACCTCTTTTCTTATTTTCTGTTGTGTCCTTCCAGTATGGGGCCAGAATTAGATCAGAGGAGGGCAGAACATTTCATGGGAGCGCACCTGCCTCTACTTGTTCCTCTTCCTCCAGAGTATCACTTTGTGCGGCCCCAGTGTTGGTCAGCACCCAAGAAGAGTATGCATGGCATGGGAGCACAGGGCCTAACACTCACTTGATTTCAGAATGTTCTGCTTTTTCCTAGCCTTTGGTCTTTGAGATAAAACATTCTCAGCTCTTGCAAAATCAGAAGTCTCTTGTATCTGCTTTAAGTTCCAATGGCATTTTTTGAAAGTGAATGCTAAGTGGTTGATTTTTAAAAATCTGGTATCTCTGCTTTGATGTGTCCCCTGAAGAGTTGGTAGAGGATGGGTCCATCCCTTAGTACTTCTGTATATTTCAAGTTATACCTCATGATCTAGGGAAAGCAACTTAAGTTGTCTTATCACTCTGATCTTGTAAAACCAACCCAGCCCCCAAAACATAAAGTAATGATAATCCAAGACACAAAACAAAAAGTTCAAAAGAGAGAGTTGAGGGATTATAATGGTACCTCAGAGATAGAACATATCTGTGAGGTCCAAGTTTTGATCCACTGCATCAGGAAAAAAAAAAGGTATAATGCAATGCATGCATGAGTATGTATGTACTAACCCTGAATTTCAAACATTTTTCAATGTTTTTCCAGAATGACCTTTCCCAGGCTTGCTTGGTATTTTCTTAGCCTCAACAGCCAGGCATCTAGGCAGTCACTGTTTAGGTGGAACTTTAGTTCCTAATTCCAAGGTATTACTGCTGATTTTCCTTCATTTCTCAGCAAAAGTTTGATTCTTGACAGTGGTAGTAAAAAAATCTAAGGAGAAGATAGAGCTCTTAAAATGAGAGGCTTTAACATACATTTTTCAACTAGCCAGTGTTCATTTTCTAAGCCCAAGATTTTTCCACCATGCCACACTTCCCTTTTTACAGGAGATAAACCTTCCCTCTTGGCCTGAGTTTAGCAACCTCCTTGATGACATTAATTTGGAGAGGGGTTTTGAGCTTCCTCAGACACAAAATAGAATGTTATAGAGCTTGAGTATTCTGTTAAAGAAAGGTCTCTCTCATCTCTGTGTCACCGTGTCAAGGGACCCCCCTGTTCCTTGAGGGTGCTGTTAATGTTCCCTGTAAAGCTCAAGGAAATCTCATGTGTGGGGCCTCAGACCTTTCCCATTTTCTCCCACACTTTTATATTTTACCGCATGAGGTTA